TGAAAATGCTAGGATTTAGACTCTACCCGAATGTTTTTAGGTCTTCAAATCGAATATAATAGGTCTAAAAGAATTATAAAGATTCACAATTCAAACTATATAAAAGAATCCTTTAGTGTTTTTATATCAATAAATTAATAATCAAAGATCTATTATTTTTATTTGATACAACTCTTTATACTATAGAGGTAATAGATCTATTTAGGGAGAATAATAAAAATCTATATTTATAAATTATAGGCTCAATTATCTATTTGATAAACTATTCTTGATCTAATATCTCTTCGCTATTGGATAATTAGCAAAAGTTATATAATCTCCAGAAAAGCAATATTTGATATATACTAAACATTTTTTATAATATCTTGTAGAAATAGCAAATATTGGATTAGTTTATTCAGAATAATTATACTAGCTTTTTTCAGAATATAATATATTTACTAATTCTACTTAGAGTTCTGAGCAACGAAATAAATCAATTCAAAGAATAATTATTATAAGATATAAAGGAATAATAATCTGATTATTAATAAAGTAGAAATCGATTTTATAGAGTATAATGAAGATCAAAATTGTTGTTATAAACGAAGAAATTAAGAACTTAGTTTGAATAAAAAAGCTGATATATAATCTAGAAGAAAAATCCTGGGAGAAATTATTTATTTTTATTTTATATTGTAATAATAAAAATAGAGTTAATTAAATCAAAAAGATCAAATTTTATAATAAAACAAAATATTATATTAAGGATGATATAATCGATATAAACAGGATTAAGGTTTTGTAAATTGTAAATATTAATCAAATAATTGATATTCTAACAAAATAGTTTATATACTCTAGGTTTTGTATATATTGTATTAATTTAGAATTTGACATTAATATAGAATAAAAGGAGTACTTTTGTATTATAGTATAGTATTAGATTATGAGATAGTGAATTTCTATAAGAAGATTAAATATTATAACCATAATCAAAGACTAGCGCATTGTTATAGGAGTTAATAAGGCTTTAAGGTTCTGATAATCAAGGTTTTTAATTATAGAGGAAATGTTAAAATATATACTATTGTATCTTGTATTATATACTGTACCCTAGTACTGTACCCTTGTTAGTATTGATACTAATCTTAGCACATACACTAGCTAGCTTATCAATACAACTGTAATGTAGAGTACATATAATAATACTATACAGTTATACTTCCAACAAATATAATTAAGCGAGGTGCACAGCTCGATATTGTCAATTGCGCAAACGAATCTATACAATTTTCGTCCTTAAAGCTAACGTACCGATATCCTTTCAACGTCCAAGTATATTTTTGGAATGACTTTTAGTCTCTGACGCTATCTAGAAATGGATTCGACGCTATAGTACTTGGAATTATCTGTTATACCTATCTGGGTAGTAGACCAGTTTAACCATGGTTGGATCTGAATTATAGCCTTGATTTGAATTCGGCATGGATCTTTTACTACTTCCGCTCATCGCGAGTGCGGTGCGGTTGATGATTAGTGAGAGTAATACAGATACCTAGATAGGTAGGTAGGTAGGTAACTGTGAGTACCGTATTTATGATTTGATCTGGGTCCGGTGGTCGGGTCGAGTTCTCTTTTTTTTTGGTCAATCATAGTTATTCAAGAGATAGTGATCATCGCATCGCCGTTGCTCGGAATTTATGGTATGGTATGGTATAGTATGAGTGGGTCGTATTTGAAGTTCACGATCTAGTGAGAAATGAGTTTAGATGCGATGCCGGTATTTGGAGTAAGGTTTATATATTCTATGCTGATGGATCGACTGCTGATCAAAAACAAGACAATAATCTTAACATACTACCGTATACTCTTGAAGAATTCAGATAAGCTAAGCAGGGATTAAGACTTAAGGTTATTCTGACAGGCCTAACTTTCGTATTCCTATTGGCAGAATTCCTCTCTGATCAACAAATCAGAACTATAAAAAATACTCAAAATTCAAGGTTTATAACCATCGGAATTCAAAACTTCCTCGATGGCTCAGCAGCCTCAAGAACCTATGCACTGAATTCTTCAAAAACTACCCAATGGTGATCATCGCTCACAATTACCAGCTAGATAGTTCGAGTTGGATACCAAATCCTGGTTACTTGGCAATGTTGAGGTGATGTTTAATTTTTGAACGATTCGGTTAAAAATTAAACACCTTGAACACTTGAATTTTGTGGGGCATACATCACTTCTTTAACCTCCTGCTAGGAATTCCGGATTGTACAGATCGAGATGAGATCTGCATATAGTACCATGTACTGTATTTGACTCACTTGATTGATACCATGCTGTGAGGCAAACAACGAACAGAACATGCCACTAAAGGACTGATAGACCGGATTTCCAAGGCAATTTAGGGAACTGCAAATTGCCTCCTTGTAGATCCTGTTTTCTACAGGTTTGAGTCCAATCATGACGGTTGCGCTTACCTTTGGCTTTTTGGTTCTGAAGATTCTGGTTGCTTGTTGACTTTTGATGGGTTATATATACGGTTTCTTCTCTCTTGTAATTCTGTATTCAAACGCATCAGCATCTTTAGTTTAACATCAACTACACCCACCAACACTCACCTTCAACCAACTCACACCATCAACTAACTCACCAAAATGATGAGGTCTTTCGCCCAGTTCGCTTCCTCCTGTGCTCTCGCAGCACTCATGGCAAGCACAGCCCTTGCCAACTCAGTCCTCCTCCATTCGGTGGATCATTTGGACAGAACGGTAACGTTCACGCCTCACTCCTACTGTGAGGGACTCGAACCCGTTTTCGTGCCCGGCGGGCACTCAATCTGGAAGCACAACATTCCCCACGGCTGGGGAGGAATGATCATGGCAGCACTACCTGGCGGCATCCATCCCATCCACCGTGTCATCGCAGAGGTCCAGTTCCAGGGGTTCGAGGGACAGGCCCATTTCGACATCAGCGCCGTCGATAACCACATGGATGACACAGGCGTTCACTGGATGTATCCCCTTGGTGTCGAGCTGACCAGATATCTCAAGCCTGGTTGCGACCACTTCCCCTGCGACAACTGCTACCTGATCTGGAATGACAAGCACAACCGCGTCACTGAAAAGACGGAGTTTGTTATTGAGATTGGTAACCCCAATTAGACGTAAGTTTTCTACCAATTGTTTCGACATTGATTTGGTACTAACGAACTACAGGACAGCTTCTGGGCGTGGGAATTTATCGGTATTCGGGGCCTGAAAAGTCCTTGGTTGTTTTTGGTGTTTTATGGCTGGATTTGGTGGATTTGGCGGATCTGGTGGATCTGGTGGATTTGGATGGGTCTCATGGTTGCATTGCGGATTTGGGATTTGGGATTTGGTTAGATAAAATAGAGTGCATAGAGCTGCTAACTTTTAATATGATATATTCATGTTTTCCCAATCTACAATCAAAGGAACTTTAAAGAAACTCATCAACGAATGAAATTTGTGTGATTGGCAAAAGTTTATTATCCTATGAATATCCTATGAAGGTTACAAATCTAGAAGTAATGACAAGAATGTACATATAAAGAGTTCGGATTTTGCTATAGTGACGAGGACAGCATTCAGATATGTAACAACGACGTTGTTAGGAATGAGTATGACAGATGCGATTAGCAGGTCTGTGTATCCTCACCTCATACTATCAAGAACGATCAGCCCTCTCCACACTTACAACCTGAATCCTATTAACGTTCAAGGATCCTCTTTCTTGAACTAAAGTACAAATTTCACCTCAGATTATGATTTAGATCCGGTCCCACTATATTTCGGGTCATCATTGGATCATATCTTTCAAATTCCTTTTCGATGTTAGAAAAGAATATGGCAGGTGCGATTAGCATTAGCGCGGGTCTATATAGCCTCACTTTCCATCATCAATAATAAGATCAGCCCTCTCCACATCTACAAACAGAATCTCTCATCGATCATATTCGCAGCCAAGGCACAATACCTGGCTAATGATTATTGGCTCTAGTCTGTGAAAATTCTGTGGTCTATCAACCTTGGCTTTTGCCAAGCATGCGCGATTTATTGTTTCTCTGATGACTTCACAAGATAGTGTGATCGACTTGCGCTGAGCAAATAACTCGAAGCTTATTAGTATGTAGCGTATCAGAAATATTGTTTAAGATCAGTTCATTCATCTTCATCTCATCTACTCTCATCTTATAAGATCATCTATATTCAATCTACTCGAGTATATCTAATCTTCACACATACTACATTCAATTTACACTCATCTATCTACACTCAACCTACACTCAATCTTCATCCATATCAGGTCAGAAGTTCAGAATCTTCTTTCAATACCGCAAGCATGAGAACATTATTCGCACGCATTGCTCTCGTGGCCACTGCAGTGGTCAATACACTGTTCGGCTTGGCTTCTGCCGAGGGGGAAAGAAACCCCAACGTATTGATTATCAAGAACATGGATAATCATCCCCGAGAACTGCATTTCCGAGCAGAAGGACCGGCATCATTGCTCAGTCATAAAATGATTGGTCACAACATCCAGATCACCGCTGGCGACACGCACTGGCTCGAGGTTCCTTATGGATGGAACGGAAATTTCGTGGCCTTCGTCATTGGTTCTGCTCCCAAGGAAGACCGTGTCCTGGCCGAGTTCGCCTTCCAAGTTGATGGTCGCATCGGTACGTGGTACGATGTCAGTGCCGTGACCACCCATAATGACCAAGAGGGTGTACACTGGATATATCCTTTGTCTGAGGCCGGCGACAAGAGTGGTTGCGAGACCTTCCCGTGTGAAACCTCCTACAAGGTTTGGAATCATGACAAGAACACGAAGTACACCACGGATACGAGGATGGTTATCGAGTTATACTCCAGCTAGATGGCAGGCAACCTATTGAAGCAGACTCTCTCATCGTTCACAACCTTCTTCGATGATAACATGTTGGGACCTCCATCTACTCAACTTGAGCTACCGTCTGTCTGTCTTCTCATTTCGGTCTCCTTCTCACTTCCGTCTTGGCTTATCTTCTTGTTGACTTCAGTCCCCACTCGACCTTGGCGCTTCTTCAGCATATTCCGTCGGCGTTTCTTCATTTTCGCCTACTCATCCTCAATACCTCGCCAATATATTATTGGCCAAACAGTCCTGATAAAATATCTCGACATATGGGAGGAAAATCGGGGGTTATATGGCGTAATTGGGTATACATGGTCTTGGTTTTGTTTCCTAAAAGGCATTTTCAATGGATATAATATATAATATTCAATATATAATAGCTGTACCAGTACCACAATCACAAGATTGAATTGAATTGAAAACGGCAGCGAAAAGAAAAGAAATAAAATAAAATAAATGATGCCTTCGCAACAGCGATAGCGATAGCGATACATAGCGATGTTCCAATACCTGATCCTCCTTCGTCATCAAAAGACCATCAAATTTAATCGATATTATCATGATTCATCATTCATGACGTTAGAAAAGCCAAGGTACTCCGTTCCACCGCACCCCACCCCGCCCCAGAACATCGAGATTCCCGAGATTCTCCATTTCATATCAAGGCATGAATGCTGATATGTGGAGTCATCGGAGTGGTATCAAGAATCAAGACTCAAGACCGTTGAAGACTTGTTGCTGCTAGAATATAGTAGTTATACAGATCCGTAAACTAGAAGGGGAAATACTACTCATGTATACCTTTGCTGTTTTGTGAGTAACCTTAGCTGCGACTTGTAAGCTGTGTACTAGTACCGGTACTATGCTCATTCCATAGATAGGTGTCTTCCGCTTCAACTCACAATCTTAGTGCCAGTATACTCTTCGTTGCTTATACGATAGTATATATCTACCGTCGTGTTTTTAATCAAAAATATATTGAATTCATTTGTCAATTATTTTACTCGAGTACAAACCTCTCTTCTCTCTGTGCGCACACACCAATTTCGGCTTGTTATTTTTGGAGAGCTAGAGTGTGGCTGGTATTGACCTACATGATTGGTTGGTAGAAGAGGTTGAAAGAACTTGGAGAGAAACCCCATGATGATGTAGGTGCGGCTAGAGCTAGAGCTTCCCGGCTTCTAATACCAGACTGAAAATTTGCTTCCGTTATCTTATGTTTTAATATATCTCATAACAACAATTCATTCACTCGCTGATTCAAAGATGGCATCATGACATATTAATACTAAATTCCCTTGCTTCTTGATACTTGACCCATAACTTATTCTTAGCACACGACCTTCCACAAGACCCCTCGTCCAACAAGATTCACAAGGAACAACCCAATTTTGGGTAACTATTGAATACAGCAACGCGACAATTATCTGAGACATCAATCGCCATGAAACGAGTACGATTTCCCAGCGGGATGGAGCGTCGAAAGTCCTCTACTCCTCATTACCATACCTTTCCTACCCCGCCACCTAAATCTCGCGGCAGACCTCCAATTATATCAGAATCTTCATCTGGCCGAGATGGATCTGCGAATCCAAATTCGAATGAAGGAGAGCACGAAGACGAACATCATCAATCTCCTCTGCCAAAGAAACAACTTGCCATATTGGCAGTCATTGCACTCGCCGAACAGACCGCGTTGAATTCGATATCTCCATACCTACCCCAAATGACCTCCAAATTTCCCGAAGTTGATCCCAGTCAAATAGGATTGTATGTAGGAACTATCGCATCGAGTTTCGCTCTCGCGCAATTCACGACGAATTTTTTCTGGGGTTGGTTATCTGATCGAATAGGGAGGAAGCCGGTGGTGATGCTTGGGACTCTCTTGACATCAGCGTGCTTTGTGGCATTTGGATTCTGTAGGACATTATGGCAGGCGGTACTGGTACAGGCGCTTATGGGCATGGTCAATGGGAATCAAGGGGTGATAAGCACATGTTTGGGCGAGATTACGGATCGAAGTAATCAGAGTAAGGCATTTGTCTATCTGCCAGTCATATATGGAATTGGAGGAATAACAGGACCTGCGTTGGGTGGATTGTTGATTTTCGAAGAGAATCCATTCAACAAGGGATACCCAAATCCTTATCCATATTTGCTGCCGAATTTGTTTGCGGCATCGATATTACTCCTTGACTTGGTTTTGACGGGCATTTTCCTCGAAGAAAGTCTAGAAGAAGCAAAGGATCTTCCACCTTTGAAGCATCGAATGAGAAGCCTTTTCACATACATGTGGCAATTCACAGGAGGAGCTCGACATCCAACTTATACACGGAGTCCCTCTCGACGCGCACTTCTTCATGATTCCGATGATTCTGATGATGAAGGTTCCGAAACCTCCTCGCTTCTCTCAATGGCAGACTTTTTTCACTCATCCAATGAAGCTCAACTTACCTACAAAGAAGTTCTCAACCGCGACACTATGTTACTTCTCGGTACGTATCTTATCTTTCAACTTTCCAACATCTCTTTCAATTCCCTCTACCCCATCTTTGCATCAGCACCCGAGCGTACTGGACGAGGGCTTTCTCCATCCGAAATCGGTCTTTCTCTCTCCTTCGCAGGAGCGGTTACAATTGTCTTCCAAGTTTGCATTTTTGGCAAACTCAAGGAAAAAATGGGAAACAAAGCGACTTATAGAGCAGGGCTATTACTCTTCTTCATCTCCATGATGCTCATGCCTTGGATAGGATACAAAGACTCTCCTGCCCTTTTCGGTATCGGAAATGGTAAATTATGGCTATGGGTTGAACTTGGTCTCGTCTTATTGATCAAGACCGTAGCTGCAGTGGGAGGCTTAACAAGTGCACTGTTGCTGATTACAAATTCTGCGCCTAACCATGGCGTCCTGGGTACATTGAACGGTTTAGCACAGACTTTGAGCGCAGCAGGAAGAGCGGCGGGACCTTTTCTAAGCGGAGGTTTATTTACTTTGGGAACAAGGATCAAGAATGGAGAATTTCTCGCCTGGGGCGTTTTCGGTGGTATCGCTTTGGTGGGATTCGCTTTCAGTTGGGGAATTAGAGGAAAGGATCTCGAGAGTGAGAATTGGAGCGAGGAGGATGAAAGCGATGAGGGAAGTGAGAGTGGGAGTGATAGTGGAAGTGGAAGTGAGGCGGATGTAGAGGCAGGACGTCGATAACGGAACTTTTGTGGAGATTTATTGTTCGAGGCCTGATATCATATTATTATATTACTAGATACTTTATAAAATTTTTTGTTGGTATGGGAATGGGGGTAGGTTATAGATAGATGCATCTTGGTATACTGGTACATTGGGTTAATGATTGGATAGGATTGGAGTTAGGCGGCGGCGAATAGATGGGATTTGGATTGGGAATCTGGGATTGAAAAGAAAGGGAATGGGAAGTGGGGAAAATTAAAGGGGGAGAATCAAATGGTCTCGTTATGTTGGTAGAATATATGAGGAACGTAACATAGCACAGCAGCGTATATTGTAGAAGTAGCAGTAAGTATTAATTTACTGTTTTTGGAATATGGGGTTGGTTCTCGTCTGGTGTGATGTGATGTTGTGAGATTAGAGGAAAGTAGACTGGTGTGCATGTGAAAGTGTTGTGATTGTGATTATAATTGCGATTTATGCGAGATATTTGGTTGCTGGGTGTAGGATATGGATGTAGAGTGGAGTGTGTAGGATGTAGGGTGTGGGACGGGATGGGACAGGATGGGATGAAAAATTGGAGATGACAGGAGATATGAAAATACTAACTAAAGAGTACTTGTCCTTCTGCGAGTTCTAAGGGGAAAGGGCCGGGGAGGTAGGGAGGACGGTTGTCTATAATGTACTTACTGTTTTGTGTTGTGAAAGGGGAAGGGAAGGGGAGATGTGATATATGTTTAAGATATACTTAGTGTAGTGGTTAAGTAAGAGGTTCTTAGGATAGAAGCTGATAGAGCGGGGTAGGGATGGTATTATCACTATACCATACCATACCATATTTAGTAGACAACTGAACTTAAGTATGGGAATATAGGAGTCAGGACGTCAAAACATAGTTAGTTATATGGCGTTGAGGCGGGAGATGGAATTGGAGTTGGAGAGGAAACGAGAGATGCGGATATGAGGGATATTTGAGGAGTACCGGTATTCATTTACATACATACTGCTTAGTTGTGGAGTTGAGTATTGATATCTCGTTTTCCTTTTTATCCTGTTCTATTCTATATCAAATATATTCGCAATTACAAAAAGTACAACTAGCAACCTATTAATCGAGTAGAAACAGGTAAGTTATTATAAGTAAGCTTGCCAGGCAAGCTTACATTCCAGACCCTCCCCATGTAATGAATGAATATAGATAGGTAGGTATATCCTGCAAAAAAATTTCCTTTCTCAGACATGCAACAAAACTTCTGGGAATGCCATCTGATTGGTTGATGGGAATCAGATGAGTGAGTTGAGTGTGTACTCGTACAGTCAAGCTATAGAAACAGGTAAGGGCCCGTTTGGCTCGTGCCTCGCATAGAATTTAGGTGAATGCACATTATAAAATTTTCGTATTCCACTATGAAAAAAGTGAATTTATCAAGTGATCGGTTCAATTTCAAAAATGTAGATCCCAAAATAACCTTGTTTTATTTATTATAATAAAAACTACTATTCTATATAATATCAATAACCTTATATCTTTATTATAATTATATCTAAAGTTTCTTCAATATCTGATTTTATCAGAAAACCTTATATATCTAATATTAAATAGTCTAGAGAAGAGATCAACTCATTAGTTATATAATTAGATAAAGCTAAGAAAGCAGGATAGATATCTGAAAATATATTTAAATCTATTAGTTGATTCTCTATTGCTAATTTCTATATTGATTCTATAAAGACTGGCAAATCTTATATTATAGAATCCAAATGGATATATATAAAGAAGGACTATAAAGATATCAAGTTTCTCAATAAACTCTTTGGTTTTGATTAGAATAATAATTAAGTTAGAGTTATAATAAAAAACTTTGTTTAAAAGGAATTGTAAAAGATATATTCATTAGTTTTTCAAGTTTCAAATATTAATTTGAAAATGGAGTTATCCTGACAAGATCAAATAAT